GGTCCGGTCGTGGGGCCTGAACTCTGGGCCTGGGCACTGTCCCTCAGCTCTTCAGCTCAAGGTTAGCACTCTACCACTTGAGCCACAGTGCCACTTTCGGCTTTTTTCTTTTTTGCTTATGTGGTGCTGAGGAATTGAACCCAGGGCCTCAGGCATGCAAGGCAAGCGCTCTACCACTGAGCCATCTTCCCAGCCCTGTTACTGTTTTCTGTATTACTGAAACACTATCATAAACAATTATATATCAGGATAATACATAGAGTAACAATTATTATTTTTGTATTTATATAACCAGCATACTACTAAACTTTCATATATAAAGGTATTTTAAACAGAGTTCATGTTGATTTAAATGGAGGTCAATAATTATTCAATAATTATAAAAACTTTAATGTTAAAGTTAATAATGCCTAGGAAATATTTGAGACTCAAGTCATAGAAATCTTTTGGATGAAAAAATATAGATTAATTGGTTTAAAAGGAAGATATTCTGCAAGGCGCCGATGGCTCACACCTGTAATCCCAGCTACTCAGGAGGCTGAGATCTGAGGATCACAGTTCAAAGCCAACCTGGGAAGGAAAGCCCATGAGACTAACTCATCTCCAAACCACCAGAAAACCAGAAGTAGTGCTGTGGCTCAAGTGGTAGAAAGTTCACCTTGAGCTGAAGAGTTTAGGGACAGTGCTCAAGCCCAGAGTTCAAATCCCACAACCGACACACACGCGCACGCGCACGCGCGCACACACACACACACACACACACACGGTAGAACACCACCTTGAGCTGAAGAGTTTAGGGACAGCGCTCAAGCCCAGAGTTCAAATCCCACAACCGACACACACACACACACACACACATTCTACAGAAAAGCCAGTGTTAATCATCTAAACCATTTTTTTAAAATCATTGTACACTCATAAATTTCATGGAATATACTTAGAAAAATGCTGTTTTGCAGTCACAAGCTTTAAAATTCTGATCTTTTACTCTTACAGATAAAAATATAAGATAAAATAATGTATAAAGAAGCTCCTACAACTCAGAATAAAAAGTGCTACTGGATTACAGTTTAACAAGGTGGTTCAGAGTTTATCTAGCCTACTCTGGGTTCAATACCCAGTACTAAGGAGAAGAAATAATGCTACTATACAAAAATTTAAAATACCATCAAAAGCCAAGTGATTTTTTCATCTGCAGAATTACCTTGTTAGGTTGAGTAGCAAATTTGCCACAATGTTGTTCATTGCATCAAAGGGCTTCTTATGTCTGCTTTTTAAAGCCTCAGCATTTGAAGTAATCAGACTCTTTGGTTTCACAATTGTACCCAGCTTTCCAGAACTCACCATGAGGTCAATTTTGCTAATGATGTCAAATAAAGACTTTTGAGAGAAAAATATTGGGAAAGAATCTTTTAAGAAGAGTGTACTTAGAGATATTTTCCTAGGAAGGACAGAAGAGAAAGAAAAACAACTTAAACTTATTTTTTCTTAGATGAAGACTAAAAATTGATCAGAGGTCACAAAAACACATATGCACAACACAAAATTAATTGCATCTAAAACTTATCCCTGATCCCTAAGGTCATTTCTTACTTGATTGTCAATGGGCAACACACAGTCTGCATGCTCATTCAGTTCCTTCATTGCCAACATGCTATTGTATGGTGAGGTTATGACATCATCCTCGCTTGAAGGATAAATGGAAGTCACAAATCTGTATACTTCTGGGAATTCATCTTTCAGCATCATTAAAAGAAATGTGCCAAGTCCTGATCCTGTTCCTGAGGAATAAAATTTCAAAAACAAAGCAATTAAGAAGGATAAATGATTAAGAATGTAATTGTGAAGAACTTAAAAAGTTTATGCTTTATTTGCAGGCATAATTTTCAACTTACTCCTGTGACTTACATTAGTGGAATTTTAGATAGAAAAAGGAGAAAGGCATGGAGAGTCAGGCTGAAAGTCCTGACTTCTCTGGAATGACTTTCTATATCTCACTCTTTCCCAAATTTAATTCATTAGATGCTGAAAGAACTGACTCAATAGTGAAAAATCCTACTAAGACAGTATGCAGTCTTACTAATTTTCATTTGACTTAAAAAACACTATCTTGAACAGCTTTTGTGAACTCTGCATATAATCCTCATGATAAAATGAACCATGTCATTAATTAATGTAAACAGTTAAAATTGTTTAAAATTTAGCAAGTTTACTTTGAATTTGTAAAATTTTCAAATATGAAATGTTTCTTAGTAGAAACTAGGGATCTCATTAAAGATAACTTTCTGATACATAGTTATATTTACGCAAACTCAGAAATCTATAAGGATTTAACTAGAATCCTCTAGGTGGGTGTGCTACCAACTTAACAGATTGGTGTTTTCTTAAGTGAGACAGTAGAAAGTATCAATGTGTTACCCTAGTTTCAGTGTGGGTATACTCCTGTATGAGTGCATTGCTGCATTGTACTATAAAATGTATTCCTTGTTATTTTGCTTAAAAATTTAAAGCCAATGCTTTAATTCATGTAGATAAATATTAAACGGCTACAATGGTGAGCTGGGCAAGGCTCAAGTGGTAGAGCTTACCTAGTGATCACCAGTCCCTGCATTTAATTCCTAAAATTGGCAGTGGTAATGATGGGGAGAGGAGCTAAATAATGAAAATGAGGGAGACTATTCAGGTAATTCCTGATGATAAGAGTATGTACTGTTACTAATACTATGAATTATGAATTAATGCAATACCATTGGAAGACATAGTAATAACATCAACCACTATTTAAAACATGCATATTCTTTGATCCCAACTTCCTTTCTAGGAATATTGCCTATAGTATAGTGGCACAAGTGAAATATATATGTACTAGATACTCTCTTAAGCAGTTAGTAATAACTAAACAGGAATTGCAGTATATACAATACATATAATTCAATTCAATGAGCTGAGGTGGAAACAATTCAATGAGCTGAAGTGGAAACAATTACAGAATATATAAGACCTTATTTACTTTCTCACATACTTTCACAGACATAGCAAATATCTGGAAGAATATATGTTATGAATAAACAAGTGGTTGGGTGTTAGTGGCTCATGCCTTTAATCCTAGTTACCCAGGAAGCTTAACTTGGAGGATCAGTTTTTAAGATAGTCTGAGCAGAAATCTCAAAAACTCCATCTCCAGAATAACCAGCGAAGATCGACTGGAAGTATGGCTGAAATAGTAGAGCATGAGCCATGAAGAAAGCCAAGTGCGGATGTGAGGCCCTGAGTTCAAACTCCTCTACTGGCAAGAACAATAGCAAAAATAAAATAAAAAATAAAACAAGCCTGTAACCTGGTCATCTGTAACGAGATAGACTAGATAGGACAATTTTACTTACTTTTCCATTTTTAGTAAATTACAAATAAAGTATATTTTTATGAGTTACTAGAAAATGGAGGGCTTTTATAAACAATTATATATGAAATTGCCTTCTCAAAACTTACTAAAACTTGCAGGCTAATTATACTAGTAAGATGACAATTTGCTTCATTAATTAATAGATTATGTTTTACACAGTAATTATAACTAATATGACTGGGTAAAAAAGGTATTTCTTAAAACTGATCAAACAACCTGTTGAACAACTTTCTTTCTTTTTTTTTTTTTTTGGGTGGTGCTGAGGTTTAAACTGAGGATTTTTGAATGGCACCTCAAGTCATTTTTGCTTTGTTATTTTCAGATAGAGACAACACTTTTTGCTCAGGCCAGCTCTGGGCTGAATTCTACCTATGCTTACTGCATAGCCAGCAGGCATGCACAACCATGCTTGAGTTAGGGGCCTGTTATCTTTTTGCCTGGGTTGTTCTCAAATCACAATCTCCCAAATTCTTCCTCCCCGGTGACTGCAGTTACAGGTGTGAACTTCCATGTTTGGCTAAAATATAAAACCTTAAAATTCAGGTTAGAGAAAATAAGTGTGGCAATTCCTTTAAGTCCTGTGATACCTATCTTAAAATTAGCAAATTTTATTCCTTTTATCTCACAGAACAAGAGAGAATATACTTCAGTTCTGAGTTACAGCTTCTCTGGGAAAAGAAAATAGTACTTTTCATACATTTATACTCAGATCAATTAATGACCATGTAAGAAATGACTTAAAAGAGGAATTTCTTTTATTCTTTTCTGCTCTTTGGAGATAGAAAGGCTGGAAGATGGTTCAAGAAAGGTATTGAGACTCTTGGCAAGCATCCTAAGAACAGGCCAATGTGCATCTGTAGGGACAGAATAAGCAAGCTCTGCGGAGACAGTAAGCATTCTGCAAAAGCTTGCAATTATGAAAAAAGGGCTGAAATTTCATAAAAGAAAATAAAGCAATAAGAAACAAAATTTTCAATATAGTTCTCTTGACATTTAAATCAAACATTAAACTATAGACAAACTGTAAGGAGGTCTGGAAACATAGGTATGAAGAATGAATTCCTACTTGCATTTTAACACTGCCATTGGAAAATGAGTCAATGAGCTTACCTCCTCCCATGGAGTGTATTATAAAGAAACATTGCAAGCAATCACAGTGCTCGGCTGACTTTCTGAGTTTCTCTAGAATCTGTTCTTGGTAAAGACTACCAAACACTTTGTGACCAACAGCCCTGAAAAAAAGAATATAGATTAAAAAATAATACTTTTTACTTATTGAGTTATTTATGCCCTTAATGATTATAGAAAAAAGTTCAACAGATACTGTTTGTACTTGTGCCAAGTAAAATCTACACTTGTTTCATGTCATTCAATCAGATATCCTACAGGTTCTAGATAATCTTCAACTGTGTTGATACAAAATTCATTAGTAATGGGTTTTAACTATTTTTCAATTACATAGTTTATTCTTTTTTCCATGTAAACTCTGAACTGCAGTGAAAGGATAAGGTCATTTATCAAGACAAATAAAAAAAATGTAGTCTTACTTCAAATAGGAAAGTATGGTACCATCTTACTAGATGAAATGGCAAATATTACACAACTGATATTCATGAGATTCTGTGCAAGATTTTTGGACTGCTCAAATTTGCAAGTATTACAAAATAAAGCTGCAAAAACTGTTTTGCAGTTAATTCTTAAATGATCCCTGTGGGTGATTATTAATGAGAAGAGACTATGGAAGAGCCAAAACGGCCTCAGGCTTAGCTTGAGAGACAGGATACTGGTTTCATTTCAGCCCTGTCAATTCTATTTGAATTTGAATTCTAGCTGAGAGCTAAACAATATGAAAAATCAGTTCAAGTAGTGACAATACCATTTACTGTTCTATAAGAATCAATTTACAAAGAACTTAGAAAATAAAAATTTCCTGATCCATCTTTTTCTTAAACACATTACAAGGAACTAGGAGTGAGAATAAACACAGTTACTTCCAAGCTCTGTGAAATACCTTTCAGCTGTGGCACATCTTGCTTTTGTGTTAGTAGGACCTATCAGAATAAGAAAAGAGCTTCAATTTTTTTCAATGACATTCAATAGTTATGTTCAGGAAATTCTCACCAATTATTTCCTGAGCCAGAAATATCAGTAATAAGCTGCTTGCTATCAAACACATCTCTCAATGGTCCCTGGAGAATTTCATTCACAACCCCTTCTTCCATGTCAATCAAGACAGCCTGAAAAGAGAAACAAAATTGATGTATGTATTTTAAAATTGCTTACTTTGTAAATGAAAACTATTTATTGTTTCCTTTTTTTTTCTTTTTTTGATACAGGGTCTTGCAAATAGCCTAAACTGACCTCAAATTCAATCTTCTTGGCACAGCTTCCTGAGCATTAGATTACAGGCATATGCTATCTTGAAAGAATTTATGAACTGTAAAGTGTACTGTTCTTTTTATACTTTAATTCATCAAAATATTTATATAGATTCTATTCTATTCCAATCAAAAGGTGAAATCCAATTGAAAAACGGGTTCTAAACTCTTGCATCCTACTCTGTGTGTGTGTGTGTGTGTGTGTGTGTGTATGTATGAGTGTACATAACTATACATGTGGGGGAATAAGAACTCAATAATCCCCTTAACTGAATCTCTAACAAGGTCTTAGAAATCTAGAAGACAAGATAAGCTTCTCAATAAATGCAGACTGGGGCTGGGAAGGTGGCTCAGTGGTAGAGCGCTTGCTTTGCATGCATGAGACCCCGGGTTTGATTCCTCAGCACCACGTAAGCAAAAAGAAAA